TGAATTCATGAAAGAATGTCTCAATCACCTCTGCACCTGTAAGAATATTTGTATTGCTTGTTTGCTTGTTTTTGTTTATTTGGGGTAACTCTTTATTTTAAGTGTTCCATTATATATTTATTTGTCCTCTCATAATATTAACTAAGCCAAGTTTGAAGTTCTGCAAATAGACTGTGTCACTGCTATTTGCACCAAGATTTCCACATAAACCCCTGAAGTGGAGCACTTGAGATAAAAGCTGTGTTTGCTGTTTTGCTTTCTGGATAGACAGCACTTTGCTGCCTAGCAGTTCCTAGCCTTTAATAAGAGTCTGTTCAAAAGCGTTTGCTTGGTGTGTTTGAATTGGTTGTAAAGCACTTTAAAACTTGTTATATGGTTGGTTGACAGGCTGGAATTTTTAGTATGTATGCTTGCGAGGAAGGTTTTGCCACTGGAGGAAGGGATGGTTGCATTCGGCTGTGGGACACTGAGTTCAAACCAATCACCAAAATTGATCTCAGGGAGACTGAACAAGGATACAAAGGTAATGAGCTGTCACTTTAATGTTTTTTCTAGATAATGGATTATGACACCATTTAATTTGAAGCATAAATGTCTCTGCTTACTGCTGATTTTTTTAAACTTAATGTCTGTATGGATTTTTGGGTCTGTGTTCCTTTTTTTCTCTGACAGTGTTAAAAGCCAAGAGAGTTTTCCATGGCTCATAGTATAAACAGAGGGGTGCTTGTAGTCGCTGTTCCCCACCATGCAAATACAAGGAGATAAGTAAAAACTATTTAAACACTTAAAAGATAGGAGAATGAAGGTAACCATAATAATAATTGCAATTAATTTAACTGTTTGAGATTTCTGGAACCCAATGCTCAAAGATGCTGACCAGCTGAACACTCCATCAGTGCATTTGGAATGGGAGCACTTGGTGGATTTGCTAGAGAGAATGTCATTAAATTCTTGACCATCATATTTGTTGAACCTAATCCTGCTTTGTATGGGCTTAGTCGTCACTTTCTCTTATGGTTAGACTCTTGGAGCACTTAAAATCTCCAGACATCATAATGCACAAGTTCTTCTGGGAATTCTACACATCCATTTGGTTTTCATATTAAAATTGCCATTGAAATAGTCAAGAGGCCCCTAAGAAGATTACAACTTTCTTTCTCCATTATGGGTGTTTTGGCCCATGATCTAGTAAGAAGCTCAGTCTTCTTATTTTCCATCTTGGTTAAACTAGATGAGTTGATGATTCTAACGCTTGTAAAATACATAGGTTTGCAGTTCCTTGTGACCATTTACAGCAGTCTTGTAATGCTTTCTAAAAATTTGTGGAGAAATAATTGACTGTACTTATATTGAACACGAATTCTAATCAGACAGGCTGTGGAGTGATTGTAGCTTGATGCCATTATTTCTGCTATCTCCAAAATTAGCTACAGGATGCAGAACACAGAGATGAAGGCAACGGAGTAGAACCAGGCACTGTAACAGCAGCTATAGGGCTGAGAGACAGTCAGGAGAGGTTTTGCCTATCTTCTTACTTGGCAAAAGTAAAAACATTTTATTTGCAGAAATAAAATTGTGTTGTCATTTGGATTTGTATATAAATAACAACATTTTAAAGACTGAGAAATGAATTGATTTCTAAAAACTGAAACTTGAACAGTGTCTTCACAGCATTAAAATCCTTTGGGTTTATGTTTGTTTGTCATCAAAAAAAGCAGCATTGCCTGTTTAATGGCAAGAAACTGACTTAAGCAGGTCTGCAGAATTTTATCCAAGCTTAGTCAAAGATGATATGCCTGTGAGCATAATCACTGGGACTAAGGAAAAGGACACAGTGCTGCATCTGTGAAAAATGTAGTGGGACTACTTCTCTAACTGCAGCTCTCAAAAATGAGGACCTTGGGGATGACTGCAGGTCATAAAATCCAAGCATGCGCTTATACCCTGTCACCCTCATCTTTAAAAACTTGTATCTTTCCTGCTTCAGGGTTTCTCTGATTTCTTTCACGATGATACAACTCTTGCTTGCCATGTCCTGTTTTGTTTTGGTGACCTCTTCTGCTGTTTGATGTCACCCACTGGTGATCACTTCCACTTAGTTCTGGCTGCTCATGGACTGGGGAAATGGAGTTTCATTTTCAGTTGTGTCAGTGTCACTGATTAGTTTAAGCATATCTGTAACATCGAGCAGTGGTGGTTGCCCTAACTGCCTATCTGTGACCTTCTGTCCCTTCTTTCCAGTTATTTTTTCCAAAGTAGTTTGCAAAGGCATTGGCTTTCACATTTAAAACATATTTGTAGGGTGCCAGGAAGCCCTTTTTTACCCCGTGTGTGCTGTTCTTCAGTCATCGTGCACTGAAGACTTTTAAATGAGATGCATCACCAGTAACAATCTGATCATAGGCTTTATATTGAAATAAGTTGTATTAGTAGCAATCTTTCTTTCTGTGCAGTGTGTCACAGAGAACATCGCCCTTCCCACATCCAAACATGCACTTTGTGTTCTCAAACAACAATGCCTGTTTTCCACCTAGCGTCTGCATTCCATCACTCGTGTGGTCAGTGGTGTGTATCAAGAAGATGATGGAAGTCAGAACTTCAGTAACAATTTAGCTAAGTCACAAAATGACATTATCAAAATTAAAGGCTGCTGGAAATGGACAAGAAAATAAATTAAGATTAATTTGACCTTCTCAGCAGATGAGAGTATTTTATTTATGTGACCAGCAGTTAATTGCATTATATATTTGGTTCCAAAAATATGTTAAAATGATGATGTGGTTGACCTTGACTACATGACTAATGATTTTTTTTTTATTCATTGACACCTAACAGCATCTAGACCCATTATCCTCACTCTAATTTTCATATACTGAAACAGAAAACTCAAACACTGCAAGCAGTTGACCAGAGAATGCTACCAAAATGCTCAGCCTGCTTAGAGAGTGTTTTAAATCTTGTGGTTAGTAAAATTCCAGCTCCAAAGTTAGGATCAGATTTGTAAAATAAGATCAATCTCTCTAAAATATACTTTTTAATTTTTTTTTGTGATAGTCCATTGTGTCTAAAATGGGCAAGTGTGATAATAAGGGCACAAACCATTTAAATTCACCATTAAAATGTTATTCCACATTTTATTTGAATGTGCAAAGAAGTAAAGTACTGACAAAAGGAATACAACCAGCTCTGGTCCCAGGAGCCTTGGCTAATCTCAAGTTTAGACATTTAAATCATGTGAAATGGAATTGTTCCTTAAAGTAAATTCCCAAGATGTGCACAAAATATAACACTTGATTTGTTGAAGAACTGGCAACAGCAATGTTAGCACTCAGCGTTTGCCCAGCATTGAGCTTTCTCTTTTTTTGTGAAATGGAGAAAATGTAACAGAACTGCTTTGAGATTTGAATGTGATGTATTGTAAGACCTCAGTGTCAAACATAACAGTTAGAGATTAACTCTTGAAATCTTCGTACTGTTCCTTGTGCTATCCCTTTGGTCATTGCCATTAATGGAAGGCTTCTCTGTCCCCTGCCAGGTCTGTCCATCCGCAGTGTCTGTTGGAAAGCAGACAGGCTCCTAGCAGGGACACAGGACAGTGAAATATTTGAGGTGCTAGTCAGAGAGAGAGACAAACCCATGCTGATAATGCAGGGGCACTGTGAAGGGGAGCTCTGGGCCCTGGCAGTCCATCCAAAGAAGCCTTTAGCAGTCACAGGCAGTGATGATCGATCTGTAAGGTAAGGCTGGCTCTTATTTTTTTTCTATTCATTCATGTGCGCATTAATTTAGAATTGATTTATTGTCTGGCCTCATTTTAAGACTCCATTAACACAGCATTTTTTCCCCATGGTTTTTCTTAGCAGCTTTGCTTTTTCTATTCATATTTGTGCCCCACACATCATGTAAAAATAACCAGAATTCGTGTTCAAAACATGCTGAATTTATATACTCTGCTTGAAGCACTAATACATTGCTGTTCTGTACCAAGAATGGTCACCTCAGCCTTCTCTTCTGTTAAGAATATGTAACAAGCCTGAAACATAAATACCTTTGTCCAATGTTTTACACAGCAGGTGTCTGCCTCAGCCTTGAGTGTTCAGAAAATCTGGTCTAAAACCATTTCAGTTAAAATGCCAGGAAATGAGATTAATGAAAATGCACTGGTGTAACCCAGTGAAAAAGATCTTTCAGATGTTTAGTTGTAGCACTTGTGCCTTGAGGCTTTGTAGCAGAGATTTTAAATTTTCTACACAGATTTGTGGAAATTGTCACAAACTCAAGGATGTTCCTTTTCCTGGCCCTGTTAAAGTTTGGCAAATTGTCCATGCCCAGTTGAGATAACACACGACAGCTCTGTGGGTATGGGAGTACATCCACTACAGTGAGAATCTGAGCGTAATAAAACACTTTCCTGACTGCCAAAGCTACCCAAGGGGGTTGGAATTTTTTTCTCTTTCTGTTTTTTTCACTTGTACTGGTTTCCTGTTCCTGCCATCCCTCATCTCTTACGAACCACAATTAAAACCCAAAGTGTGAGACCAACAGAACTGCCAGTTGTTCACTACAGTGGTGTTAGCTCACTGATTCCTACACGAGTGTTATTTCTTTCAGTTTATAAAGGACACAATTAGTCTCTGCTGCTTGGGTTTGCCCAGTGTTACAGACAGGCATGAATTCATGCCAGCTGTGTCCTGGCAGGATGCAACGCAGCTCTGAGGGGAGTGCTGCAAAGCCGCGATTAGCACTGTACTGCCCTCAAGCTAATAAGCCACACTAAGACTGGATTTCTTGTCTTGGGCTCATCTCTGGGTGAGCAGAGTAGATCAGCTCTGCCTCAAGGCTGGGGAAGGTACTGCTGAGTCAGTGTGTGCTGAACAAACTCGTGCCCCTCCAGGAAGCACGCAAACATGCTCCTGTGCACAGCAAGCCTTAATTGGTGCTGCTCTTGTGATTCCTATCACTGTTGTGGTAATCACAGTATCACTGATGCCTTTGAACATTGCTGTTATCTCAAATGTGTGTGTGTGTTAGCAGCGCAGGGATTTTATTGTGCCTCATCACACGTCCTGTGAGCTTTGGCACTGAAGAATGGGGGATTTTTAATATACTATGGCTTTCTGTGAGGAATTCCAGAGAAATATGCAAATATTTTCATTAAGTTAAAACGTACATAAAAGGATTTTCTTCCAATTTTCTTTTCAATACTAACATTGGATCGACAGGAATGTTTCTGTACTGCTGTTCATTGGGTGATTTTTCTTAGCATTTGGGTATCACATTGCTTTGAGAAGGGTGGGTATAGAATATACACCTAAAGCATTTTAAAAATAAAAGTATTTAGTGAGTCAGATGATACTCTCATGTCTGAGATGTCTGAATAAGAAGGACCTCTGTAGAGGCAAGGAAGGTTACTGTAGATTTTCCCTAACCCAGCTCAGAGTAGGCTCTAGCCAAATACAGATTGCCTATGTTTTAAATTTCCAAAGCAAAGCATATCAACTAGGAAAGCTGCCTGCTTCCTGTCTCTTACAACAGGAACAGGGGAAAAATACTCTGATCTGAAGGCATACAGAATTATTTATGACACATACTCAATGCACCTCACACTTGTCTTTGTGTAAGAGAGAACGTCCGACTGCAGCACCACAAGGTGTTCTGGCAGAACAGCTCTGCTGTGTTTCTGTCTTCTTGAAGGATCTCTTTCTGCAGTCCTGCATTTATAAGAAGATTGATTAAAAGCCTGGGTTTATATTAATGCCTTTGAATATTTATGTCTGTGATTTTCTGTGCTAAGCAGTGTTGTGCCAGTGGAATGGAGCAAAGCAGCAGTAAACTGCTGTCATCAGCGACGGCTTTTTCTGCTAATGAATTGGTTACCAGCAGGTCCCTTGGGAGGCTGTAATCTGTATGTGCTCCAATAAACACACCTGTCGGCTGCAGCACAGGAAAGGTTGGAATATTGACTAATATAACAATGTTTCATGAGCCTAACTGGGGTTTATAAACTCAGTCCTTGAAATAAACACGTAGGAAAATTGCCAGAGAATGATGGAAACAGTCCTTGCCTTGTTTTGATAATACATGCACTTTTCATGTGGGAGTAGTATGTTTATCTAATTTTTCAAAAAACAATGTGCAGAAATATTTTTTCAGCAAAGATATTTTTCTATTGTCACGAGCAAAGTCAGCCAGGCAGGTATTTTGTCAGCTGTGTATATGAATGCCTGCATGTGTGCAAAAGCTTGATTTTTCCTGTCATAAAATCAAAAAGCTCCTATTGGAACTACCCTTCTATTAATTCAATGGCTGTAGTATTTTTTAAAGAAAATGGGATTATTCTCCTTGCATTGCCAGGTATTGCAATTAGACTTCTAGTGTATTGGACCAAGGAATTTATCTGGAAGCAACATTTTGGAGACAAATTTTAGCCTGGTGTTTCCTTTGAAATCTTTCAAATCCTTCCTGGTTCATTCTTTCTTTATCATTTTGAGCCCATAGCTTCAGCCTTGTAAAGCTGCTAGGTTCTTGATCCTACTTCTGGTTTGTATTGGGAAATAGTTTCAACATCTCACATCCATTTTTTTAACCTTCTTTTCAGACTCCATTCATGTTGTGTTTATGCTGTTTACTCCTCTTTGCTAGTTCCACATGTTTCAAGCTTACAGCACAGTGCTGGACATAAGGCTCTGGAAGGATGGGTTTGGGTTAAATTTCATTCCTTGTCTACTTGTTTCATCATCAAGAAATCTGTTCCAGTATGAGCCTCTATCCTGGGCGCTCAGTGTGTCCCAGTTCACTGTCTAGAGCAAAGCTGATTAGCATCCACATCCTTTGTGCCATTGTACTTAGCGAAAGTTGTAATTGTTACTTGTTCCTAGCAATCTCAGTAGTATCTTCCATCCAGCCTGATTGTTTCTGTCTCTAAAGCTTTCTCTAAAGCTTTGTCCACTATCACATCAGAGTTTTTGTACAAATTGTCATTTTCTTTAGTTTAGCACTATTTATTTGCATCCACTGCTATTCAAATATTTTACTGAATGTTTCATAAACACATTAGATTTATGGCATTGTTCTCAAAATTGAGATAGTTGGATATTGCTGACTTAATTTCTATACCCCAATTGAGGTCTTTTATGCATTTTCTTCCATTCTTTTAATGGTTCTTTGACTTTCTAAGTCTTGCAGAATACTGAGATGTGATTAACCAGCTAGTAGTGATCTGGGGAACTCCCTCCATTCCTTCATGAAAATACAGACACATTATTTGCCTTTACCTAATGGCATAATTTATTGGTTCATTCCTTTTATTTGAAATTATGTAAATAAGGGAATCAACATGCAGATTTGTCTCCTAGTTCATTCAGAGTGATGACAAGAAAACTCTCCCTATGGTTTGAATGTCAGTGTGCTCTGGGTGTTACTTTCAGTGGATATTTCAGTCTGGTCTGCACTGACTCTTTCTGTCTAGAGAACCTGCATTTTTATTATGCATTTTGGGGAATTCTGTCCTATCAGGTAAGTAAAGTCTGGAAATAACACCAAATTATGTAACTGAGCTTCATCCTGTTTTCTCTTCCTCTGTCACAGTGATGTGTTCAGGGTGGAAAGGATCTCAGTCCACTGAACAGTCTTACCATACAGTGTGCGTGCAAGTGGCCTTTGCCAGTTGGGTTAGACCTTTGGTTTTACTCTTGGTGACATGGAAATAGTGAGCAGTCAAGAAAGATTTACTGCTGCTTTCAATTTGCTTTGGTGCAGGTTATGGAGTCTTGCTGACCATGCCTTGATAGCTCGCTGCAATATGGAGGAAGCTGTGCGGAGTGTGTCTTTCAGTCCTGATGGATCCCAGTTAGCTCTTGGAATGAAGGATGGCTCCTTCATTGTCCTTCGAGTAAGGTAAGATGGAAGAATCTTACAGCACTTTTTCATATTAGTTTGGGGTTTTTTTCTGAGAAACTCAAGGTCATATTAAAAAGTCATTCATCTAAAAAGAAAAAATAATCACTAGGTATTTTATCAGAAAAAAAGGAATAAAAATTGAGCATATACTTCCATGACATCAGTCGGTGTTTTAAAAGGTGATAATTTGGCAGTGAGGAGAAAATGTATGCTTTATTTTAGTAACGATGTTGGTTAAAATTCAAGATTTTCAAGTTTAGCTTTTTTTCTTTGGTCTGAAAATATGCGTTGGCCATAGATTGAAATAGTCAAAACTCTGGTGTGATTTCCAAACACATAAGCCACTTTAATCGATACTTGGCAGAGTTTGCCCCTTCCTTATATTTAAAATACTTGGAACTACTAGCTGATAGGAGGGAAAAGCCTGTGAACCCCCTGTAATGCTCTGCTTTAATGACCTCAGCAAAACTAAAGTAAGATGTTCATATTAATTTAAAAGCCTTCCCAAGGACTAGTATTTTTCTAAATAAGTTAATCTCCTTTGTCTCCCAGTAATCTTGTCTTTGCTAATTTGCCGCATGCCTCCTAGGACTCTCTGTCTTTGCTTATGAATGATGCTCCTTTCAGGACTCTGCTTTTAACAGTGCTGTGTATCACTTACAAAGTGTATCAGTTTTTAAATAAACTTGAGTCTTCATCAATTGGATGCTGCTAGCAGTACTTACTCAGCACAGGTGAATAGAATGAACGTGGACAAGTAGTGTGGTTTCTATCTTTTGCTTTACAATAATGCTTATAAACAATGAAAGCAATAGGAAATTCTCAAAGAAAAGGTGTTTTTTTCAAGTGAACTCTGTGTTTTGTTGTACAAATGATTCAGTGCATCTGTCTTAAATATTTGTGGATGGCATGATCACAAGTTTATGGTTCCAAATTTCACCCCTGGTTCTTGCAGAGACATGACAGAGGTAGTTCATATCAAAGACAGAAAAGAAGTGATCCATGAGATGAAGTTCTCCCCGGACGGCTCTTACCTGGCCGTGGGCTCCAATGATGGCCCCGTGGATGTCTATGCGGTTGCTCAGCGGTACAAAAAGATAGGGGAGTGCAACAAATCTGCCAGTTTTATTACTCACATCGACTGGTCTGTGGATAGTAAATTCTTGCAAACCAATGATGGTGCAGGAGAGAGACTGTTCTACAAGATGCCATGTAAGTTTGCAAGGGATTCATGTGGTGTTGATTTGAAGAGAACAACAAAAATATCATAAAATAATACACCTTCAAGTGAAGTTTCTTGGCTGGAACTTGCCGAAACACCTACTGCTCGTTTTTCAAATCATATACTCACCTTCAGCTCTAAGTATAAGCTTCTCTGCATTTACTGCTGTGTAAATGGTGTGTTTTTGCAGAGCAACCTTCACAGGTTGACTCACTTCTAGAAAACAGCCAAAGCACCTCTGTCCCTGTTGTACTTCCTTCATGTGATGAACAATACCTGTGTTAGCGATTAGAGTATTATTAAGAATGTAATAACTAAAAATAGGAGAAATGTTTGGGTCAACTCTGAACTGTTGAAGATCTCAATGTTAAAGATTGATAGTAGAAACAACATTCCAGACTGATCCTGCTAAACTTTGACAGGCCAAGGGAAAGCCACTACCAATACACAGATCATAGCAGGGAGTATGCAGCAGAAATCCAGCTGTTGGTACCAGCTGTGCCTGAAGTAGCACAGCCAGAGCTGCAGAAGAGACTCAGCAGTTTAAATAAATGAGAGGTGCCACACTATGGCATCACCTGTGTTACCTCAACGCTTTTTCTGTTAGTGCAGCAAAGCTCAGAATTGTAAGGAATTACATGTTTGTGACAGCAATGTACACTGTGCTTAGAATGAAAGTGTGAACTTCACATTCACTGTAATGTGGAGCATTCATATTCACCACATCCAAGTGAAAAACCCCACCTGATTTTCAGAAGAAGCTGTTGCTGAAGAGAGCTTTAGGAATAAGATTTTGTGCTCCTTTGAGCTAGTTTGGTCGCCTTCAGTTGACTATGAAACAGCATCCATAAATGAGAACAGTGACTGACTGACCAGATACTCAAATTTCAGGGACTTCAGGTGCTGAGGACAAAAAATTATTACTAGCACATGTAGCCTTATTGAAAAATTCATATCGTTAATCTTACAGTGCTTGAAAGTGTTGTAGGAACTCATGTTACATACATGTACATTATATTGAAGACATTTTTTTGGTAGCAGTGATGTGGAATTATAAAGTCTTTCTGCTTTTGTATGTTTTTAGCATGCTAATTCTAATTAGCATACTCATTCTGATTAGTATTCTAATTAATTCTAATACAGCTGCATTAGAACTCCTAAGATATGTGCTGGCCTCAAACAGCACAAATGTGGCTTTATAGTAATTTGAAGAAAATGATGGATCCTATTAATTGGAGTTAAAAATTAATCACCGTCAAAATACACAGATAAATTTGATGAAAAGAAATGGAGTTTACTGAGAAGTAAATGATTAAATTGATTATTCACTTGGATGTTTTCAGCTGGGAAGCATCTAACTAGCAAAGATGAGATCAAAGGAATTCACTGGGCCTCATGGACCTGTGTGATAGGATCTGAAGTGAGTGGAATTTGGCCAAAATACACAAACATTACAGATGTCAACTCTGTGGATGGAAATTACAACAGCTCAGTGCTAGTAACTGGAGATGATTTTGGGCTGGTTAAACTATTCAGATTCCCATGTTTAAAGAAAGGTAAGGCAGTATTTTGTGTTGCTGACAAATGCAGTATTTGCCTTGATACCCTATCAGTGTGTTTTCTAAGAGTGGCTCTTAATTCTTGTGTGTAATTCAGATCAGTGTGTGCACAGTTCATGTCACTATTAATGGACTTAAAGATGAAACTTTAACCCTCTCTGTTTCTAACAATTTCATGCCAATACAGAGTGGGTACTTGGTTTTGGAAACTATGAGGATACAGAGCTGCTTCCTCAGGATTTGCACTGTACCAAACAGAAAGCCAGCAAACTAAATAAAACTTTCTATGTTCTTCAGTGTTTAATTTGTTATCATATCAGTGTATTCTCAAAAGTTGTGTCTACAGGACAATGTGTAATACATATGTAGAGTTCACACTAGCAGGTGTGGCCAGAAAAGCAAAAATTAAACCTTGTGTGTATCTGGTACTTCCTGCCATGATATAACTACTTTTCTGGAAACTGATGTGAAGATACTCTTCATATGATTTTACGTCTATTTTTATATTAGATTTACTTTTGTATCAGAATATCAAACAAGGCATTAAAGTATTTTTTTGTTCAGTTTTCTCAAGTGTTTCCCTTAGAACTCTAACTTTATTAGTTACCATGTTCATTTGTTTTCTTCTTACATACCAGCAGTTCTATTCATGTTTTTTAGGAGCTAAGTTTAGAAAATATGTTGGGCATTCAGCACATGTCACCAATGTCCGTTGGTCCCATGATTTTCAGTGGGTTTTAAGCACAGGAGGTGCTGATCACTCTGTGTTTCAGTGGCGATTTGTTCCAGAAGGGATAACAAATGGCATCCTGGAAACCTCTCCACAAGGTAAACATGATTTTTTCTGAGGTAGTTATTTAATAAAATCAGCATAGACTGCCACACTGGAAAAGCTTATAGTGAATTACCAGAACGTACCTTTATTATAACTCTTCGGAATTGTATATGCTCAGCATATTTGGGACATGTGACTTTTCGGAGATAAGCTTTGCTTTGAGGTAAGGGACATTAAAAACTGCTGCAGCCTTGTATGTGTAGGAAGACACGAGTAGTATTTGTCAAAGTATGTGGAAAAAGACATTTAGATCATTTAGATCTAAATTGCATTCAGAAGTCTGACCACAGGTACTGAATTATTTATTTTTCAATGCAGTCTCATATATATATATATATATATATATATATATGTGTGACAGATATACTAGCTAT